TGCCCATGATGACAAGTGCAGGTGGTTTATAGACTGCAGGTTAGTGTGCTTTGTGTGAGTGCTTTTTAACTGGTACTTCAGAGGAAATGCAGCCAAATAGACAGGACCCAGACGTGCTGAAGAATTTGCAATTAAAAACGAAACACTCTGTGTGTGCGTGTGTGTGTGTCTGTGTAGTTTGTACACTCTGTTAATGGCAGGAAACAGACCACCCTGTGAGGCAGAGCTGACGGAAAACTATTTCTTTCTGATCACCTGCCTGCACAAACATCCTCCATAGATTAGAACATTTTTATCTCATCAACACTAAATTCCACATCTGTCATTACACAACCAATATCTGCCACAGCACCTCTTTCTTCCCTCATTAACTCCTCCCCTTCTCATTTCCTTCCTTACCCTCTTCTCCACGGGTATTTTGTTGTAGTAGCGGATGGAGTCTTTTCCTAAAAAGTCAAACTCCACAACGTACTCCTGGTCGTCCAGCTTGGGGTACAGTTTGATGTGTTCCACTCGCAGCGAGCAGCAGCCAACGGTGTCCGCCGTCTCGCCTTCCTCCTTTTCGTTACCTGCCCTCAGAGCCAGCTATGAGAAAAACACCGAACATCACAAACATAAGCAAAACTTCAGAGCAGAACATTTGGTCAGGATTTATGTAGGCCCTGTGATGAACTGCTGAGCTGTTCGGCATGTAACCCGCCCCCGGCCCAGTGACAGTTGGGATAAACTCCATGTCACCCATGTGACTCTGAACAGCATGACTTGTTAAGAAATCTTAGACTTAGTTTACCAGTGGAACTAAAGAAAGACCTATGATTTGTGTGACAGTAAATGTCATTTGCTGACACAGACTGGGTAATGTGTTAGAAATGAAAGGATACCACATTGTTTGATGGAAATTAACATTTTCAGCCTACAGAGGGCTGAATTTAAAGACATCCCAAAAACCACAAAGATGCTGGTCTTCTATGGCAAATGCCAATCAGGCTCCACGGTTTCATGCAGTGAGCACAGAGCCCAGCTCACCCTGCCCCTTGCACAAAGGAGCAGATACTGGTCCTACTGATGGGTTAAGGACCTTCTACGGTCAGCAAACCTTCTGGTAATGACACGTATTGATGTGCCATCCTGGAGGAGCTGGACTACCTGTGAAACCTCTGTAGGGTGCAGGTGTTGCCTCATGCTACCAGTAGTGACACTGACCCCAGCCAAAGAGGGAGGAAGAAGAGGGGAAGCCGTCTAAGATAAGATTTAATTGCTGGGATTTTTATAGATGGAGATGATATGATGTATGATAGGGAACTAGCCAAAGAAGCAATGTTGAAAAAGTGAAAAGTAGATTGAAGTTGGAAGGAAATTCATTCTAATTTGGTGGGGTTTATATCTCAAGTACAGACATCAGGACTGCCTCTGCACGTGGGCCCACGGCCCTGGATGTCTGGAGTGAGAGATGAGACGAGGAGTCAGCAATGGCCTTATGGTGGCCTGGAATATGTTCAGCTCGGAATAGGAACTGGTGAGTGACTGACAGCTGTGGAGGACAACACATTAAGGGGATGATGGACGGAAATGAGAACGTAGTGCTTGGAGGCATAGGGAATGCACGAGATGTGAAAATTCAGCTGAATTATCTACAATAGTTCACGTCACTTTACAGCGATTTCCCTTTTCAACCTACTACTTCCACTAGTTCTACTTCTACTACTTAAATCAAAGCTGCTGTACGTTCTTGTCTATAATCTACTTTATCTATTTTATCACTTGGTGCAGTCACCATAATTTTATTGTATTCTTATTTACCTTGTCTATGAAGTACAGCGCCACAGCTCTCTGTCTGATCCTCATCTCTTTTGACTTCCAGTCCTCTCTGTACTGAGCACGGATGCGATCCACACACTTCTTTAAACGCCGGGCAGTTTCATATTTCTGCCAGTCCTTCTCCCCCTGCACACACACACACACACACACACACACACACACACACACACACACACACACACACACACACACGTACGTCCCATCATTGGGAAAATGGTAGAAAAAAAAGGTTACTGGGGGAAAAGGCGGCGAGAGCGCGGGTACCTTGATCCTGGAGCTCGGGTTTAACATGATGTACTTGATGGAGCCCTGGATGTTCTCTGTCCAAGATGCTAACCAGGTTACTTTGTTGTCATGTCGAACCTCCTTCCATTTTGTCCCTGGGGGAGGTTTGGGGTGCTTGGAGTCCCTACATAAAAAGAGCCAGAGTTACCAAACAGGTGCAAAACATGCTGGCACATTTCCACTGATCTATGTTTGGAGCTGTTCCCACAGTGGAGCTTTGTGCTGATTTAAAAGCGTTCCTCAGAGGTACCAAAAATTAAATAACTGATCTTTTTTCTGCAGTGTAAACACCACAGCTATGAGACAATAGTGCAAAGAGAACATAAAATCCCACCTTCCAGTATGCGGGGGTGAACATGTCCTCGCTGGCTTGTGTTATTGTTTGCACAGATACAGTTTACACTGACAGGAAGACCACCTTTGACATGGTGCCAGAAGCGCATGTGTGTGTCAGTGATACATCTGCCATACTGTATATGCGACAGGCAGCACGTACAATCTTTTACCCAGTGTTTTTTCTTTGATGGCAACTGACCGCTACAATTTAGCTTTCCCATAAACTCTCCCACACATCCCGCCTCCAAAGCAAAAACAACATCATTTCCACAGTCTGTAAATAAATACGGTAATCACAAAATCAAAAGACAGAAGCACAGATTAACAGAAAACAAGGCAGACAGGTGGTAAAACAAGGTGATCGGTGTGGGGTAAATGCCTGTGACCTCCTGACCAAACACTTCATCAATACTCAAAGCCTCATCAGTTGCTGCTTATTATATCCTTTCACATGCGCACATCCTCTTATTTTATCCCTTTAACAACAACAGTCTCATCATCTTTCACATGTCCTCACCTAAAATGGTTTTACAGGGCCACCTTGTGGTAAATCTCATAACCAAACACTATAACAACAACTTGTGTCCAGATTTTATGTTTCTGCTATACTTCGCCTCTGAAACAGGAACGGTTAAAGATCAGGGCAGCTGAGGTGGCGATAACGGTGACAAAGAGATTTCCTACTTGCTACAGTTAATAATGATGTCTTCGGGTCTGATGCGCCGCTTCAGCATGCCCATCTTTGGATGGTCCCCCCGTCCTCGGAAAAGGCCTGGCGGCTCGATGCGGAAATTTCCGATCCTCTCCTTGTGGTTGTCCATGATGCAGAAACCATACTCCTGAAGGAGCCGTTCATTTTCCTCTTTGATTTTCTACAAGATGTATGAAGATATATTGAGAAATCCCAGAGTTCTCGAGGTTGGAAGAGTGCACCTAACTGCTAGGGGTGCAACGATATTCGTATCGATATTGAACCGTTCGATACAGTGCTTTCGGTTCGGTACGCATATGTATCGAACAATACAACATTTGTAATTTATTTTATCAA